TATTATAGTTTCCGAGAAAATTAATAAAATGTGAAAACACTGCTTTATCGAGCATTTTTTCAACTTTGAACTACGAATTACAGCCAAACGGATAAAATCCACAGTAATATTTCAATACATGTTGGATTCCCCAAACATTCAGCTTTCATATGCATCTTTTGGATTCATTCAATAAAATGTGTGTCAACAGTGTTTAATGAAAATAATAAACATTTATTAATAACTAATCGCTAACAATAGGTAGAGTATGTACAAAATAAAAACTATACGGTCGTATTTGTGTGTCGTCGGTCGGTCGATAGTCTTCGCCGGCGCCTATTGCGGTCCACCCATCATGCCCATCGGCATGTTGACCGGATATCCGGGCTGTCCTTGTCCTCCCATCTGCATGGCGGGCGACTGTATCTGCGGCATCGTTGCAGAGTTTGGCGCAGATTGTGGTTCCGAGGGAAGCGTCAGATTGAGAAGCAGTTCGCGCACTGCTGGATACAGACTGCACTCGGTGTGATTGGATTGGAATTGCGCAAAATGCTTGAGCAGCGAGTTTGCCGCGGTGATTGCACCACCAGATCCTGAATCCCTTTTCTCGGCAAGCTGCGTGATGTTGGTGCTGATGTCGTAGACGAGTGGAAGGACCAGACACGGAGGTTCCATTCCGCCCGCACCGCCACCACCACCAACGCTGCCGTATTGCATCCCCATGCGCGTTATTTGCAGCTGAAAAGCAAAAATTGAATCAGTCATCAGAATCCATCAGTGTATATGCAAGTGCGTGTGTGAAAGAGAGAGACTTACGAAGAATAGTATTTTTGTCTTGTAGGCGAGAATTCCTGCCATTCCGATGGGAACTATGGGGATGGCAGACGGAGGGATGCGCAGCATCCACTGGACGGACCATTTCATGCCCTGCTGCTGCGCCAATCCTGGTATCAGTTCGAGCCTCATGATTTGTATGAAGTTCTTGAGCACGTCCACAGACACATTCAGGATCGAGCAAAAACCGAACATGGAGTTCGGCTTGTAGGGTGGAGCCGCCGCTTTCGTGTCGAAGAATTTCTCCATGACTTGCAGCTCATCCGAGCTCCACACGTCCTTGTGCTCGGGTAGCGGCGTTATCTTCAGGTGGAGCGATTGCAGATGTTGAGGATTCAGAACTATCCTGCAGTGAAGATGTTCGGATACCTTGAAATGGATGACGCCGGGTTCCGTCGTCGACAGGGCGGTGAGCTGCGAAAGATGATTTCAATATGGTTTCAAATGTGTTATTGCATTTCATTTTCAACTTACGTATTTCTCCGAGTGGACAAATCGTTGCAGCTGGCGGCGCATGTAGACGCAACCCAGGAAACGCTCGAGAGGTGCAATCTCTGGTCCCGGATAGCCCTGAGGATGAGGCGATGGACAGCAGAGACTCTCGAGTGCCTCGTGGGTGAGAAGGGTGGGTACGGCACCGGCCCACGAACGCTGAGGAAGTACCCGCGGCATGTGGCTGCCTCCTACGCCACCGCCTCCCGATCCACTTCCTCCTACTCCAGGTTTATGATCTGCCTGCGGGCTATGCATGATCGGTGGTCCGCCCGGTGATTGGCCGGGACGCGCTGGTGACGGTCTCGGTACACTCGGTGATCCGGGCCAGTTGGATGCGGCCGGCGATGCCATGCTCTGCGAGGATGGGAACGGGCTGCCGTCCGTGTGGCCGGTCTGCATGAAGCTGCTGACGGGCGAATGACCTGGTAGATTCGTGACCGGACCAGGAGATGGATTCGAGAGTAGTCCACCGGGACTGGGCACGTGCGGATTCAGAGGTGAATTGGCGACGAGGCCAGAACCGGGACTGGGATGAGGCATGTGCGGACTGGGATTGACGTTAGCTGGAATCGATGTGGGACTGAATGATGTTGCCGGACTCGAACCGAAACTGGTGTGCGTCGCCGACGGCTGGTTCATCGAGGTGTGAGGGCTGGCCGGAGTATGCGGATTAGAGCTAGGTGGCGGTGTCAACGGATGGTTGAATCGAAGACCCGGCTCCCTCTGCTGCGCCGGAGATTGTGGACCACGATGATGACCTAGAAAACCTCCTCCTCCTCCTCCACCCTCGATTTCCATAGAGATCGGCGACGGAGGGTTATCATCCTCGGATTGTGATCGCCTTCTGAACACGGCAGTCTCGTCTACGTATTTCGAAAGGAACGCCTTCAATCCTTGCGTCGGCGAGAAGACATCCACGACGTTGCTGCGATCGAAGCGGCTGTACGCTCCGTCCCTCAAAGACACCAGACCGGCTCCCCTGATTCTCAGCTCCAGACAGTACATCTCTTGATAGGCGATTCTAATTAATGTGCAGGACTGCGCCATCAGAGTAAATGTTTTGACCGGTACCTGAGGTCTCTGCGAATCATAATGCAACAACAATTAATCGAAACCCATCGAAAGAGATCCGAATCGCTATGCTTACCGTGTGCGAAACACCCATCTGCGGAATGGTGGGCAACTTGCTGATAGAGATGAGCGGCTCGTAGGTCTCATGCAGAATCTGCACCAATTGAGCCAAATTCCTGGTCACGTTCAGGTGCGATTCGAGTTGTTCCTTGATGATGGAGTGCGCATTCAGAGCGTTGTTCGTCGCACCGAACGAGAGTCGGAACAGCTTCTGGCTGCTGCTCCAGGTGATGCAAACCATCGCCCCTTTGTCCGGCCCGTAGCACAGCACCAGCTTTCCGTAGCTGTACGACTTGATGCTGAACATGTTTGCCAGATTATACTTTTCTATCGCGAGATACTCGCTGAGCTCGTGCACTATGGTATAGAGATGAACGATCTGCGCCCAATCGCTCAGCAGCTGGTTGACCGTCCTCGACACGTTATCGGCGGTGCCCATGTCGTATGGGAAGTAGACGGGTCTCCTGGAGCCCTGCTCCTTCGGATGCGTGCTCGGCAGTGGCGTCGAATAGAAGACGAACTCGGTGACCCAACTCTTCAGATTAACCTTCGTTTGCACCCTTATCGAGACGGAGAGCAATCTCTTCAGCAGCGAGTGCCACGCCGCTGACTGTCCGATCTCAGGCGTTGGTGGCGGCAACTGTATCAGCTTCAGCACCAAACCCGTGGCGTTCGCCTCCACCTGCAGACCCTGATGAAAGATGTTCCTCTTCGTGAGTTCACCGGCCAACGCAACGAATGGCAATCTCTCATCGCACATTGCCACCACGTGAGCCAGCTCGGCGACGAAGTAGGCAGGCTGCTTCGATCTCCTCGTCGCAGACTCCTGCTTCATCCCGATGCCCGCCTTCCTTTTCAGCGTTCCTGGCTCCACGTGATCTCCGTCCGTTGATCCGTCGACGTTCGTGAATGGACCGTGTGTCACCACGAACGTATCGAACTCGATGAGGCTGTGCACCTTCAGGTACACCTTCGGGATTTCCGTCTCTATAGACTCATCGTCAGGGTTGTCCTCGATGCTCGAATGCTTCACTATCAGCAGATAAAAGGAACAGTCGATTTCGCACGGGCTGTTCTCCTTCTCCTTGAACTCGATGATCTACAGCAGCATCAAAGAAAATGAAATAATTTTTCCATCAATTGCCTCCAAATCTCCAACAGACTACACTACTATAACAACTACTACGAATACTAACCAGAGCCACATTAGGATGCCTATGTAACTGCACGTACATCCTGTGCTTGCTGAGCTTTGTGAGCGGATGATCGGGATGGTGCAGTAACGGTAACCTCTCCTGAGCGGTGGCGGGGAGATGCTGCAAAGTTTTCTCGCACCGTCTCTGCGTGATCCAGAACCGCAGCTCGCTGATGAGACCGGGCAACTTCGAGTGATCCCCGTTTAGTGCGTTGCACAGATCAGGAATGAGCGGTGCATCGTACTGAGGTACGTGACATTGCAGCATCCCAGTGTGCGTGTCGACCGTGATCAGCAGTTGCTCAGCCCTAAGGCACGGCTGAAGTATCGCAACCGAGAGTATCGCGGGCGAACCCTGCAGGTTGCTCTCCACATCCTTCATCATGTTCTGCAGTTCCGCCTTGATGTCGGTCAGTCTGCTCTTGGTGCGGACGTAAATCGTGTGCACGAGCAGTCTCTCCATGGAGAGCAGCTCCGATCGTATTGCCCTGTCCGCGATCTCGCTCTCCTAAAATCAATCAAACAAAATCAAATTGATTGCCACCGTTCGTTCGAACAGAACGAATCTACTTACTTTGTTGCCAAGAGAGGGCACGTGCATGACGGCGAGTGGTCTGGCCGGATCGTGCGGATCCACCTGCACGGTCAATCTGTATCCGAGCTCAGATCTTGGGTCCTTACTGGTCGGATCTTTTCCCTTCGTTGTCAATTCCCTGAAAACGAACGGAAACAATAGTTATTATTCAACTCTTAAAAAAAACAAAATAAAATAATACTATTCTTCATCAATAATTACCTCCAATAAGAAATGGTCAACGATTTTCCAGAAACATATTCATCCACATGGATGTGATCATCCAATCTGTCCCTCATCAACCTCAACGTTTGTGAATACAGCACCTCCAATTGCAAAGACTGGCAAAAGTAATGCAAGCAGTTGTAAACTTCTGTGAGTGGAGCTGGATTATCCACAAGTCTTGTCTGCATCAGCTGATGGATATATTGAACTTGCAGAGGATGCACCAAAGCTTTACCATCTAACATAATAAAACCAATTAAAATTAACATTGTCATTGTGTTAATTAGCAATTTAAATAATGCATACCTCCGGTTTCTTTGTCCTCGACAAGCACATCAATTTCCAATAATCTCCATGGTATATTTGGTCCATCACCCATAACCGTTAAGGACACATCAAATTCATGTTCCACATGAAAAGTTACTCTGCCATTCTCAATCTAACAAAAAACAATTAATAAATTTCCTCCTGAATGCAATGGAAATAGTTCTCACCTTAAGGTTTTTCATCTGCGGCAGTAAATTCCCAGTGACCAATCGGTGCTGGATCACCTGGTTCAGTTTCAGTAAGGTGTTTCTCTTTTCTGAATTCGTGATTGGATCTGGAGGAACGATTTTCTCCCTGATGCAGGCGGGAAGTCTTCCGTAGGTGCCGGTAGTCAATACTTCGACAGCAGCGGGAATATGGAAGTTGGGTAATCTGGCTTGCACCAGAGTCTCCCTGGCCATTCTGGCCAACATATCCGCAGTATCCACAAACAGCAAGGATTGTTTATCCAGGAAAGCCATGATCCTCTGCAAAAGTAAACAAATTAGTTGCAAAATTCAAGAAGACACCTTTTTCTGCAAACAAAATTACCGCTGATTTCTCCACTTTGGAAGCACTGTTTGCCCACTTGACCAGTGCTAACAATCTGACCGTCAATTGTCTTGTGCGAATAGCAAAGTTGTATATCTCAATCTTCCTTTCCATATCCATTTTCCTTGGCAATCTGATGAAAACAAATGAGTTTGATTAGTAGTGATTGATCGATTGGTGGAATTGGTATTTAAATACTTACAATTCGGCCAACACTGTTAGCTCATGGTAGGTTCTCTGAACTATGAAGTCGATGAGGACGGACAGGGACATCATGGTTCCGCGATTGCCTTCTTGCGGGCCCGCAGACTGTCCACCCGCTTGCACCATGCTATTGGCCACAGGGGTCTGGAGCCCCTCCAACGGTACAGGGGCCATACTCTCAGGATACTCCAACTCTCAGCTGATCACCACAACGAGCACGAATCGAAAAACAACACTGGCGGAGGAGTAGAGGTTGTGGAAGAAGAAACCGTCCCGATTGAATTTCTTTCCAAAAAAGAACACACAAAATACGATCGCACTCTCACTCACGGACCGCAATTACATCTTCGCAGCGAACTTAAACTATCACTGACCACTGACTGCTCTTGGGTCTCTGGTGGTCCGTCCTCCTCCGTCTGCAAACCTAAAATAAATAAATAAAACTGTTTTGTTGATGACAACTACTAATCAGCCGCCATCTTGATGGTTAGCGAAGGTTGGTACTACGGTTGCCAACCTACCATAACAACCATACAAACAACCAACATAAAACATGAATAAAACTAAACATTTTTCAAATTCAAAAATACTTAGAACACTTTACGTTTAACACTTATTTAACGACACTTTAATTACGGAAATAACAAAACTGTTATTTTTAAAGTATTTCAGCAAATTTCATTTCATTTATGTTATATTTCAACTAATATTATTTGTGTACAGTTGTTTACGTTCAATTCTAAATAATCTGAATTAAACCTTTTTTGATTTCCTTAATCATTTCTTCGAATTCAGGTCGAGGCTTTCCATGGTCGAGACAGGACCCAGCTAAATGTGAAGGGTTTTCCAGGAAGGAAGGTCATTAGTGGAAGAAGAAGAGATTTCTTCGAATTAGGATTGAAACTAAAATGTAGTTGGCTTTAGTTTATTGCAGTTGTCTTTGGTTACCAAGCAGAATGAAACAAAATAAAAAAACAAATGGAATTAGTAGAGTGTCTGGATCATATTTATTGGTCATCGATAGCGATAGGAATCGCCGCCTCATCGACACACGTAACGTTGATAAGAGGCGATTCGACACTTGCGTAACACATATTCATGTATACATACATATATATATATATTCACATTTCCGAATTATCATCTACAAAAATAAAACGTTTCGGTATCCTTGGAAACGTTTCTTGATAAGTAACTATGGTGATCAAATTGACTATATTTGTATTGCTTCTAGCAGGATTAGAAACTCGATGCAAACTAACACGACGATTATAATATAACAATAACAATAATAATAAGAGAACAATGCGATTTCGCATCTATTTATTTACTTAATTAACTAATTAGATAGTAATCGGATGAAGGAGGAACGTGGCGGATTCGGAATGATTTGAATATTTAGTGATATTTGATGATGCTCTACATAAGAGACACAGATAGAGAAAGAGAGAGAGATAGAAGAATGATTGTGAATGAGATATTGATAGAACTAGATATAGAAATAAAGAGTATTCTGTATGTCTTCTGCTTTTCACAGTCTACTTTTCTAGATTGCTGATCATTTCTTTTGTTTGTTTGTTTGTTTGTTTTACGGTAGACGGACGTGGTTGATGTCTGTTACGTTATCCTCGGGGCTGGGACTGGAATCCCTCTGTCTGCTTCTGACCCTCACCACCTGCGTGTGATGGGTGTTTCCTGGATTCGCAGAATCTATACCGTACTGAAGGCCGTATCCGCTGCCCGCGAGTCTCATCTTCTCGGTGCTCTGCTGCGGATCGTCGGCGTGCGAGAAGAGCACACCGATGTTCAGTTGCGGAATATCGTAGAAGACGGCCAACGTGAGCATCATGAAGGTGACGCCGCACAGCAGGTAGCAGGTGGCGACGATCTTGTAGAGCGGTCTGTAAGGTTGATCTGGGGAATCGCCGGGGATGTAATCACCCAGACCGATCGTCGTCAGCGAGATGAAGCAGTAGTAGAACGAGTCCAGGTAGTCCCAGTCGGGTTCCAAACGGGCGAAGATTGCAGCAGGAATCAGCAGGAAGAACACGATCAGGAAGCCCACTGCAACAATTACGTTTAACGGTGCTATAGAAAGATATATCTTATTATAACTTACGAACGAAGAACAGATGCATGAGACGAATGTTGAAGGCCTGATAGAGGTGGCCGAGTTTCGAGTTGAGAAATTGCAAGAACCAGAGCGTCGGCACCAGAAGACGTTCGACGAAGGCGGAGAGCAGGACCAACGTGAACGGAATTCCGAAGACGGCGAAGATGATGCAAAATGCTTTTCCCTCCCTGCTCAGTGGTGTGACGTGACCGTATCCTGTAAATACATGCATTATTGATTATCATTATAAATATTCTGCAATAATAATCATCATCATCAAACTCACCGATAGTTGTCACCACGGTTCCCGAGAAGAATAGGGATTGTCCGAAACTCCAGTTGAGTTCTCCGGAGGCGTTCCTCGTCGCGGCAACGCCCATTTTGCTCGCCTGAATGATGTGCCCAATGAGCACCTCCAAATCATCATCTGCAAGAAGAAGAAAAGATATTTATACATTATAACGAAAACTGACCCAATCTATTAATTTATTTATTAGTATGTATGTAAGTAATGGTATAAGAAGCATTACGATCGATCAATGAAACTTTCATATCCATATGATTGCATAAATTTTTGTTTTTCAAATAATTCCAATGAATAATCTATTTTTATATAGTGTTTCCATGACAACTGAAACAATTTTCATTTATTTCTGTTTACATGTTCGAGGTTATCCTAACTCGCAAAGTTTAAAACATAATTTGCGCTAATTGGCAAAAACGATCAAAATAACATTAACTAATCTATTTATCTTCAATAAACAAATTTTCTTGCAATGAGAGGAATCTCGTATGACAACTTTTGAACATTAGAGTATTTAATATTTTAAACTTTTCGTTGGTCGTTTGAATCTTACGATGCGATGGTACCTGAGACCTGCGGATATTTCTCCAGGAAGCGGTGCCGCTGGAGGGCGACGTTCGAGACGACCGCCCTTTCGGCGGGAGTCTCCAGAACCCCGAAGATGACGGCGCCGAAGCACATGTAGAGGGCGTAGAAGATGATGTAAACGGCGAAGAGGAAGTCGCGCCACGCGAGGCCCTTTCGGTACACGAGGAAACCGTAACCGTCGCCGTTCACGTCGACTCGAACACCATCACCACCACCACCACCACGACCGCATTCAATGTTACCGGCCTCGTTGTTGTTGAGGGTGCCGTAAGACATGTTCGTCATTTGTCACAAAACGCGACGAAGAAAGGTGGGCGTCGCAAAAGAAAAAAAAAACAAAAAAAAAAGAAAACAAATCGCGGTAACGAATCGAAACGATGCAAAAAAGAAAGGAAACGGAAACGAAAACACGAGTGGGGGGCGTGTGTTATAAAATTTTGTACTTCTTGAAGATGATTAATGTCCTTTCACTGTTTAATTTTTTCTGGCTCAGGTACTTCTTTATGAACGGACGCCCCATGTTGGCATCCTCGACGAATCACTTTCTTGCAAATCCGAACGACCTCCCCAAACCCTAACCAACCGACCGACCGACCAATCAACCGTTCAAACAACTTCTTCGAGTCGTTGCTTAGCTACGGAGGACGGCTTCAGGCGAACTGTCGATGCGAGACAGCCGGATCACGCTTGATATACACAGCCGTGAGAACCACATGACACTCCGAGTTCGCTGATAACGAACCAACTCTATTTACACAATTTTTATCTGCAACGACGATGACGACGATGATCGCATTCGAAAATTTGTCAATCGGACAAATCAACGTTACCGAAACAAAAGAAAAAACGAAAAGAAAGACGAAAGACAAACGAAACGGAGAAAATTCATCCAAGAAGAAAACCTATGCGGTAACCATGGTATTTGGCGTTACGTAAACATGGATGCGATAACCCACAGCAACATCTGGTCGTTGTTTCGCGATTTCATCCTTGTTTTATTTTCGATTTTTGTTTTTCATCTGCTTCCCTCCTCCACCTCCTACTGCATAAATCTTATCAACTTCTTCTATTTATATAATATTTTTCCGTTCGCGAATATATCAATCGCCGCCGACTTTTAAGGGTAAAAAAGAGAAGCCCGTGCATTTGGATAACTTTACCAATTAAGAAACGCGTCCATCCCGAACATGAATTATGAATTGCGTTGATTGAGAATGAAACAATTTTAGAGTTTTATGGGACACACATATTTATAATTTGTATTTAATTTGTTTGATGCGTTCCGCAGGTTTCCGCGTCTTCAGCTCGAGAAGGATGCGTTCCCTGGCTCTCACCACCTTCGAGAGCAGATACAAAGATGTCTTCGTGTTCGCATCGAACAGACGCGCGTAATTCTCTTCGATCTTCTCCTCCAACAACTGAACCTCATCGGTCACGTCGAGGATCATCTTCGCCTCCTGCAGACTGATCTTCAGCTCTTTAGAATGGTTGCCGGAATCCGCGATCCTCCGCTCACGCTGATCCTCGTATCGAGCCTTCGCGAGTTGCCTACTCTGTTCGATCTCCTCCAACAACGACTTCTTCAAGCACTTCAGGAACACCCGTCCGCCCACCCACGCGGTTCGCACCAGAGACTTCGCGAAATCGTACATGACGCAGCAACATCTCGATTTATTTCCACCACCACCACACACTTGTTTTTAATATCGTATTTCAACAACAACAAGAAAAAGAAAAAGAAAAGAAAGGGACAAAAATTCAAACGTTAATTTTGAAAGAAATAATAAAATGACACTTGCCAAACAAAAACAAAATGTGTAAAATTTGAAAACATTCTCGTCACGTCATTACGATTTAATTAACATTAGAAAGTGAATAATCATGTTAAAATTCTGTTTCGTTTATAATTTATAAATCTAATTATTCTAAACAACAGATGGCAATGTTAACAACTGACTGCGTATTGATGCAACCCACTATACAAAATCACCCCCTGCATTATCAACGAGGGCGGCCAACATAATTCATTGCAAATGAAAGGCGAACATTTAATTTCCGTTTAATTAACCGTAACGTAACCGTACAATCCTTATATCTCAATTGATCTGACACTGCCAACTGTGGAATTTAAATGTTAAAGACGGAATTTAAAAAAAAAACATGATTTCTTTGAATTATTTCTGTAGAGTTTAAAAGTGCGATCGATTAAATGTTGATCGGGAAACACGCGAGTCCACATGTGTCAATATCCTCGGCCTGTTTACATGCAGAGACAGAGAGAGAGAAAGGGAAAGACAAAGTTTGTTCGACCGCACGTTTTATAATTAAAATTATCGTCCGTCCATTAATAAACTAATTGTTAGAACGCGGATACACGATACGTTGTTACTTCTTTTTTTTTGTACGTTCTTCTCCCTCTCGCACTCGTTCGGTCCCCATTGATTAGTAAAGTGTAAAAGAAGGATGCAGATAGAGGCGAAGCACGAGAATTATACAATTACAAAAAAAGAGAGAAAGAAAACGCATCCAATTAAGCAAATAAATATAAAATAATAATTATACTTTTAGAAAACACACACAAAAAAATGAAAATCGATAACCTTGTACACTTTTCGATAGGTCATAATCGCATTATCCGTAGGATAATTATATATCATTGATTATTTATTAAATATATATTTGTCTCGCTATTTAAAAATAATAAATAAATAAATAAATTCCGATCAATTCGTACGTGCGAAACGTTTTATCTCAATTTAAGCTATCTATTATTAACAAACAACAAACAAAAAAAAACGCACTCAATTGTTTTCATTTATCAACAACCATAAACTGTTTGTTGCAATTAAATAACTATGTTTTAATTGTTATTTTTTAATGGATAAATAATTTCGTGTTTTTCTTTCGATTCTGAAGCAATTACCTCTTTAATTATCGTTAAATTAACTATTTGCATATGGAAACGCGGTTGCTGGAAGACGTCTAAATTAATGAAACAATCTTCGAAACCTTGATTTATGTAAATATACTTGAAAAATAAATGTAGGTGAATCGCTACGTCCGTTTCGAATCGTCTTTTATTTTGTTTTTTGTTTATTGTACCGTAATGACCGTTCCCGTAACGAATTCATTAACGCCAAGTTTCTTTCAGTTTAATGAAACAGAGTGTGCCATGGGTTTTTGTTTAAACGGTTGATGGTGATGACCACCAACACCGAAGGACGACCGGTATTTTCGAATCTTATGATGACACACGCGTTTGAATGAATTCAAGTAGAAAAACAAAGGAAAGGTGTCGCTTTGAAAGTGACGTATGGAATGCACGGATCGCTCGATCCAATTAACAAGTACTATTACTATTTTTTTGTTTTCTTAGGTTCATAGTTCGGGCGCACGGTGAACTTTAGCTCTATTTTTTTTGTGTGTGTGAATGTGTGTGTGTGTGTGTTGTCGATGTGCGTAAGTAATAATTGGTTATTAATAATAATGTGGAGGCCTCGATGGAGGATCGCGACCCACGACGATCGACTCGGATCGATGGACGATGGAATCATTGGTGTGGAGCGCACATTTCCTGTTGACGATCAAGTGATGGAAGAGCGACGAAGAGAAGAGTAAAGTAGATGTCGGCAACCCGCGCGACGTCATTGTGCAAACACAAACTTACATGCGTTACACAACCGAATCCACATTGAGAGAGAGAGTTACTCATTCGGCACAGTTTTGTCGCTGATGCAAAGTCGAAAGATCAGAAGACCAGAGCGATTTCATTTCACAAACTCTTTGCCCCCCAACCAACCAATCCGATTCTTTTCAATTTCGATATCTACGAATTGTAAACGTTAAGTGATCTCATTCGTTGATACGCTTTTTCAATTGTGGAACAAAAGCGGTGCAAAGTTTTTGGGCGCAAATTCGAGTCAATATTTTCGTTCAGATACGAACTCTAATTACACGACCTCAACCATATCACCAATCACATCAACGAATCGATGGAAAAACAGTTGAAAGATTCAACAGTTGAAAATTTAAATATTTCGAATGGTTTCCATGGTGATTGTTGAAATTGCTATGTTACTCACCGTCGATGCACTGGTGTCTCTCGAGGAATTCGGATCGCAGTTTGCGGATGTCGGCGACCCGGCTCTGCTCCACCGGTCCTTCGATGGCCGTGAAGATGACCGCTCCCAAACATAGGTATCCGATGTAGATGAGCGCGAAGGCCAGCAACCGTACCAAACCTCGTTTCAACATGTTACCGCTGATGCTGTAACCGTTCCCCCAGCAAAACGATCTGCAATCAAAAAGAAAAGAATCAATTAGAATGGAAACCGTGACGTGCCGTGACAGCACCTGTCACATTGTTGTCGTTGTTGTTAATCGCAAGTTGACAACGTTTGCATAACAAATCCCCAAACTAAATTTAAAATTTTAAAAAATAAATGAGCGCTCTCAGATGATTGAAGTTCGAGGCGAGATTGCGTTCGCCTCGTTAATTTATAATAATTACATAATAAATAAAATTGTATATTTGAATAATGGAAAAAAAAGAAAGAAAAGGAATTTGCATAAAATTTGTTTAGTTCTTTTTTCTTTTTGGAATATGTTGGTATGGAATTGGTGATGATGATGATAGTTACCCACCCGCCGACTTTCACGTATCTCAACCGCAAGGTCGACGATTTTACAAGCAGAACCGAATGGGAGAGGATGCTTTTGATGTGGTCCATCTGAGAACACGCGACGCCGACTGATCCATCGCGGAAACGAAAATAAAAAAATAAATAATAATAATCTTCGCGCCGCAAATTTGACATTGACACTCTTCGGCGCCGAAGCGCTCAGTTAATCGATTCGATTGTTTTACGTAAAACCAACTTTCAAAATTAAAAAAACAAAAAAAAACAAAAACAACAAAAACAACACGACAAACTCTAATTTAAAAGTATACATTAACGAGCAATAAATAATGATAATGCAGTTATTCTTAATTAACCGAAGAAAACTTAAATGGAAATGAATTTAAAATTTGACATTCATCAGCTGATTTATTAGACTAAATTCATTTGTTGCTCGAGGGCCAACTTTAAAATATAAAAATCACTAACAATAATAGTGTTACGATTGGAGGTGGAAAGCAATTAAAGTGTCGATCCGGGATAGATGTTGGTAAATGTGTGGGTTGATGAAGGTGAAGAGATAAATCGACAGAAACTCGAATTACACGTCGAGGCAAGTAAATTACATCCATCTGGCAACGAAGGAAAGCAACCGGAAACGAATGGCTCTTGTTTTTTCTACTCTAACTAATGGTGGATGCGCCGGGCGCGCGAAATTCCATCTCTTATTTAATTGGTTGAAACGTCTGCGTTTTCAATTTCGTATTCGTTTAAATATCCAAGTAATGCGATTAGAGATGCGGCAATTGTTTTAAATTAAAAAAAAATGTGTAAACAATTTCTTACCATGGCAACAAAATGGTTTCAATTATGTCCGCCGCACATCCATGTCATTTCGGTTGTTATGGAGATACTGTCGTATTATTGTTTTGATGGATGCGGGTGTGTTGATTTAAGTGCATATTGTTGCATCGCAAATAATGGGATTCGCGTGCGATAATCGTAAATTCGGAGCGGATAAAAATCAATCGTTGCTCTTCTACAAATAATCGTATTCATCTCTCTGTCTCGCATCCGTGCATATATATAACGATCTCTCTGTTGCTCCCCCTCGTGAATACGTAGCAATATTGATGATCGCATTAATCATATGCGGATTAAGCGAGGAAAACGAGGACGAGCATGGATTAGCGAGAGATAAAAGCGACAAACTTATACGATTCAATTGCAAAAAAAGGAAACGTTTAAAACACATTAATTACGATTCTTGTAATCCCATTTAATTTATACACATTCATATATTTCATCGAAAATTAAAATATATCTCCAACAAATTATTAAGAATAACCCGTTTAAAATCGATGCGAAAGTAGTTTAACTTTTAATAAACTATTTAATTGGAAGATTGCTGTGCGAATGAATGGATGTAGCGATTCATTTTTTTTTGTTTGTCAGAGGTCCTTTCGAACGATTACGAACGTTCTAAATTTATACTGCATTTTTGCACAAATTCCAATTCCAAAAACAACAATAAAAAGCAATAAGCGGATTTCAAATTTAATCATATTCAAAACGTTAATTGCATACATTTATTTTCGTATGTTAAAACAAAAACAAATAAAAAAATGAACAAAACAAAACATCGTGTTTTCCCCGAAGTGCTTTATTATATTTAAATATTTTGTCTATCCATGATGATGATGATGATGATGACATTCGATTGTTTAATTATAATTATGACATCTTCGATCAATCAATCGATTGTATCTTTATTTTTTGCATCTAGTTGCATATGATTTGTATTTGTATAGAGAATCATTAATTACAACTTAGATATTAATTATTTTATTAGAAAATAACATTAACGTCACTTTCTGATAATTTAAATGTCCAATCATTTGACACATGACAGTGCCCGGTCAATACACTTTTGTTTCGCTTTTGTAGGTAAACGTTTGACAATTTGAATGTCAATGTGAATTGTGTTTGACATTTGTCAAAGTGTTCTATATTCCATTGGCAATAGTGTGTAGTAAAAATGTGGATGCAAAGAATGCAAATATTCAACATTTTTAATTTTTGTTCGTTTTGTTCTGTATACTTTTTCTTTTTGTTTATTATGTTTGATGTTCGAGTGCATCGAGTGGGTAGGGATCTGGTATAAATATGAAGTGCATTTCGGATGTAAGGTATCTCACTTCATTCAACGAAGATTGCAAAGACACGTCCATCGTACAGAAGAGAAAGATGAAGAGTTTCATCGTTGTAAGTGTGATTCTATGGTAACCGTTTGGTATAATCAATTGTTTAACAATTGCAGGTATTCACGGCCTCCTTGGTGGCGTGCGTCCTCGGCGGTGTCAGCGTGCCGAGCGGAAGTTACATCCCGACGAGCGGTCACAAGACGCACGACGTGTATCAAGGAAGCGGAACGTATCCGACGTACGGAACGGGCATCTACAACGCGCAAGGACTCGGCTCCCTGCAGACTCCTCCGATCAATTACGGCGGTGTTTACCACGGAAGCGACTACAATCACATGACCTACGGAAGCGGTGAGAAGCAGGTGTACTACTTCGACGCGCCGCACGACTTCGAAGCGACCAAACTGAGGGTGCTCGTTCAGCCGTCCGGACACAGCGAGGAGAAGGTCATCTTCATCAAGGCCCCGGTCTACCGTGCCCCAGAGATCACCTTCCATCAACCCGCTCCGCAACCCGCCCAGAGGACGCGCGTCTACGTGCTGGTGAAGAAACCGGAGGAGCACCAAGAGATCGTCGTACCAGCGGCACCGCGTTCCGCTCCACTACGTCCGGACGTCGTCTTCGTCAATTACCGCAACCAGCACGAGGCCGAGCAACAGATCAGGAACATCCAAGGAGGCGCCTCCTCCTCTTCGGGCGTTCTCGCCAAATCCGTTGGAAGCCACTCCGACCTGGTGAGCTCCATCAACGATTACGGCTCTCGTTCCGATCACCTAAGTATCAACGGCGGTATCCTCGGAAACATTGGCTATAGTGGTAACACCGGATATTCCGGCAACGTTGGCTACAGCGGAAACGAAGGCTACACCGGCCACACTGGATACACCGGTAACCATGGTTACACCGGAAACGGATATTCAGGAAACATCGCAAAGACCGGATATTACGGCAAACAGGTGAACACCCATTACGGACCTGTCGGCAGCAGCGGCCCATATTAACGCACCCAACTGGCCGCACCTTTGTTGAAACAATTCGCACGAATAAATTGAAATCTAATTGAAATAATACTATATTACATGCAATGCGTCTCCTTTACAAAACAACAACAACAAAAAACCCTTTCCACTTAAAAAAGAATACCCGTAAAACACATTACTTTTGCGAATGATTCATAACACTTTTATAATAATATTCAGTTCAATTAAGATGACAAGTTTCATAATTTCGAAGACTTTTAAAAACATATGCAATTAATAATATCTCCATGACAACAACAATTGGCGAATTCATTTGTCTGAGCAATTGTTTCATTGTATTTGTTGCTAGGTTACTTCTCTTACATTCATTTCTTTCCATCAGTTGTTAATAATAATAATGTAATTGTTGCTTTATCACTGTTGTTATTCCATTTAAACAATTCAAGCAAAGAACATATTTGTTGTATCTATGCCGAATCATAAAGTCTTTGTTTCAATATGAATATTGAACTTTTGTTTTTCTTATTGCATTTCAATTGATTAGAAAGTTATCAGACAATATTTAACTAAAAAGTTTGGAAATTATTATTATTATTATTAAAAAACAAAAGTGGTACGGTTCATCGGAATTCATTTATTATCAATTGTTCGGAGAAGATATTTTACTAATTATTATAAATATGTTGGTTTAATAGGGGCCGCTCTCTCCGGCTGGACCATATTTTATGGTGGTGGAGGAGACGATTCCTTCTCCAGAATTGATGGTCGGTCCGGAAATGGTGACCACGTTGGTGCCGATGCCGCCTGCGATCGGATGGATGCCGCCGACGCTGTTAACGACGACGCCAAAGTCGTTGCCATGGTGAACATGAGCGTCGACGCCGTCCTTGATGGAGCTGATCAGTTCGTGATCGCTGTGCACCTTCTTCGCGGATTGTCCTCCGAGGTTGGCGCCCTCCTGGATGTCCTGGATCTTCTGCTCGGCCTCGTGCTGGTTCTTGTACTTGACGAAGAAGACTTCGGGTTGAGCGGCTGGTGCTGGGACGGCGGCCGGGACGACGATGTCCTGCTGCTCCTCGGGTTTCTTCACCAGCACGTAGACCTTGGTCTTTTCGGCAGGTTGCGGCTGCGGCACGTCGACGTGCGACACTACCTTCGAGGTTGGGGCCTTGATGAAGATGGATTTCTGAGCGGCGACGGCGGCCGGCTGCACGTGGATGCGCACGTGCGTCTCACCCAGATCTTCGGGAGCGTCGAAGAAGAACTTTTGGTGCACAACAGTCGGCAACGGTGAAACGGTGTGCTGCTGCTGCTGCAGCTGCTGCTGTTGTTGTTGTTGATGATGGAGGTAAACAGGGAAACTGGGCTCCACGATCGTCGTGTAAAGATGATGAGTCGTGGTGGTGTACCCCTTGTAGTTACCAGCGGTATTTCCTATGGTGTAAGTGGTGGTGTAGTGCGTGTTTGCCGGGGAATAGGTGCCGTCCCCTGCGTGCCTATTATGCAACCCCACCGGACTCACGGGGATGTAACTTCTGCTAGGTTTACCATACTGATAACCGGAACCCAGATCTATCCCGATATCACCGGAAGCTACGGCCACCAGCGCTGCCAATACCTGCAGGATGAAACCCCCAAAACTGAATCATTTCTCCTCACCCGATCTTAACATCCTTACCATAAAGCTCTTCATCGTGGATCTATCTGATTTCTGTACAGCATCAAAAGCACACCCAACTATTTATACTCAATTTCAATCTTTCTTTTCCTTTGTAAACCGATAGCTTTCTATTGGAGCAAGGACGTCTTCTCCTTCTCCATCTACTCAACAGATGCATTCGAAAAACTGCAAAACACACATGCACTACTAACGAAAGGTTACACAACTCATACATTATATCAATTAAACTAGAATCTTGTTTCAATCAAGTTTTCTTAATAAATTTATTGGAAATTCCAGTTTAATTCAAAAAAAAATCTCGATCCTCATCATCGTTGCCGGTTACCAAACAAATATAGTAATTTTAATTATTTAGGGTTATTAACCCTGGTCATCACCATGGCAAAATAATTGAATGTTCTTCATGAAAGAATAAACAACGTGTGACGCCATTGTCGCTAGAAAGTTCTTTGTTGCATGTGCATTTTAGACGCGCGAATAATTGGTGGATGCGCTTGGTCATCATTGCGGACAATACAAGTTAAGTGTAATTTACGTAATTCCATAATGATTAAACTTTGAAAGCTTTCAATAGTGTGTTAATTAATTCATAATTTTTTAATTAATAGCTTTCTTTAGTCGTCGGGTCGTTGTAATAAATATATTTGAATTAAAAGATTTACAGTTATCGAATATTATTTGTATTCGCAGATTGTATTTTCATTACATAATTGAGATTTCGTTTGTTGATCTTTTGTTTCTTTAATTTTCACAATCAGCCATCTTAGTTCAAAAACTAAGTAAGAATTAAAAAAAAAAAGAAGCTTTTTATACAACCAAATACACTTGAATGCTTTTAAAGAAGTTGAGTGCGGGAGGGTGTTAAGCGGTTAGCATTTTTCTTAAGGAAGTTGGCACGACCTCTACAGTTAGGACAGAAGAAGATTTCGTATGAAATCGGAAGCCAATCGGAACCAATCGGAAGTTTTTCAAACTTTTTCAAATATTTACTTTTCGGTAATAAATTTTATGGCTATGTCGAATACAGCAAAAAACAATCCAAACGGTTTTGGCGTCCATTTTGGCAATTTTGTTCTCCAGTGTTTTCCATGGTATTCAGCAGTGTTCGATAGTTTGTTAGTTCTTTCCGTGAAGTATTAATCAAGTAAGTAATGTTCCTTTAGCTATTCGCTTTAATTAACATACAATTTACAACGAAAATCCGATAAGAAAAAGTTGGTTAGATCCTCAAAAACTCGAAAGAGTCATTTTGTTCTCCAAAGTGTTCTATAGTTTGTTAGAAAACTTGTTTTATTCCAAGAAATGTAAGCAAGTAAGTAATTTTCCTTTAACTGTTTGCTTTAATTAACATACAATTTGTTTTAGGATGGTTCGAAAAGGCTGTGTCCAAGGATGCAAGGAAAATGACCACAAGGAATGCTTGTGCTCTTTGATTAGCAAAAGCAACGAGCATTAAAAGTATTGCGAGGGAATTGCAAGAAGTGGTTGAAGAAAAAAAAAGGAATATAAGGCAGAACACTGCGAATTTCTTGTATTGTGATAGAATATTAAAATTATCAACGCATTTGGGCTTAAGTCTTAATGAATTAATATTATCTATTGGCATCTTTATCATTATGTAAGTAGTTCATAATGCTCTAGTGCAATTGTTTAAGTAATTACAAGTAATTTATATCAATCATCTCAGTTGTTTAATAAATATTCTCATACAATTCGTGTTTTGTAAAATTTCGATGTGTGTTTTCAGATATCGAGTTTAGTATGGACCGCTGGCTCCGGCTGGGCCGTAATTGTTGACGATTCCGGAGCTGTAGAGATGACCTCCTGGAGCGCCGGAGTGGACGACTCCTGGAGCGGAGTTCACGTTGACACCTCCGTAAGAGGATTCGTGGTTGTAGTGCGGCTCATCCCTGATGCTGCTGACCAATTGCTGATGGTTGTACACGACCTTGGCGCTGTCTCCGCTTGAAGCTCCGTGCTGGATGTCCTGGATCTTCTGCTCGGCTTCCTTCTGATTGGTGTACTTGACGAAGACGACTTCCGGTTTGGCGGCTGGGGCTTGTGCGGCGGCTGGGACGACGATGTCTTGGTGCTCTTCCGGTTTCTTCACCAGTACGAAGACCTTGGTCTTGGCGGCAGGTTGTTGCTGCTGTTGTTGGAAAATTCCAATCTTGGAATGATAGGTCGGAGCCTTGATGTAGATGGTCTTGTCTTCGGCGGAGGCGGATGGTTGCACGCGTACGTTAATGTGAGTTTCTCCTAAATCCTCTGGGGCGTCGTAGAAGAAGGACCTATGTTGAGCAACGTGTGGAAGACCTACGTTCTGTTGGCCGTAGCTTCCGTAAGAAGAGCCGGCAACTGGGCCGTAGCTGGAATAGGAATTGTATCCTCCAGGAGAAACACTTCCATGGTAGCTGTTCGAACTTCCGCTGGAATATCCACCGGATGATTGATGAGGAGCACCGTTGTAAGAGCTGTACGAGTTTGATCCGGATCCGTGAGAGGTTTGCGGTAAGTAGCTTCCGGTAGGAGCGCCTTGCCTAAGATCAATTCCTATATCTGCGGAGATGCAGACAAGAACACTGGCCAAAACCTAAATTGACCCAATAAGCAATTAACGAAAATAATTAAATTCTTTTTCTTTTGCGGATCATGACTTACCAAAAACTTGTTCATTTTCGTTGATTGTTCGTCAGCTAACTGATACCAATCCGAACGAAACGATGCATTTTATACCGATCGAACCCCTCCAACAACAATAACACACGAAAAAAAGAAAGAAGAGATGTGCAAAGATGCATTTCATACGTTCACCTTGCGAAATATCAAACCAGGAATATGCAAATATCATAATTTGTCCAAAAAAAATTTTGCTGTTACCGATAGATACGACGCAATTTCAATGTAAACGAAATCAAAATACAATTATGCTCTAATTCAGTATTCTATAAACATAATAATACTGTATAACATAATTATACTAATACGACAAGGAACATAAATTACCAATTAGTAATTAGCCTTTTACAATCATTACACATGCAATGCAATTAATGCTCAAACATAATTACACGTTGTGCATTTGATTACAATTAACATTTAAACAGTTGCAGAATTCTAATAAGTAAAATACATTTATTAATGTTTATTCAATTTTTCCATTTTGCATCAACATTATTTGCATAACAGTAGGTTTTGATTAATTTACAAACACACATACACAGACATATTTATTTATATGCAAATCGGATATTGTATTCAGTCATATCGAATTCGTTGCCAAACCGAAAGCCCATTCGAAGAAGATATTTATTGCCAATTAATATTCGTTTTTTTTTAATTTTAAATATTTTTATTATTTTTGAGATATATTTGTTGCTTTTTTTATGCACATATAATTTGAATTTAAACGAGTCGTGGGAGTTACGATTTGAACTTTAAAAAGAACTGCTTTTACTTCATATATTTTTTAACAATACGCACACGGATGAAGGATTAAGAGACGATAGGATCTTTTTTAGTATCAATTAATTGTACTTTTATTCATTTCAATAGTTGCATGTTCGTTAACACTAGTTTATAACTTATTACTAATTAATATTAATACTAATAAGTAATAGTTTTAGAAAGGTGTTGATAAATGTTTACATCCGTGTCGACATGCAAATTAGTTGACAAAATATCAAGGTCGTAAATGTTGAAATATGTTTTCATGGAATCATAATTCTTTTCGATCGAAAATAATAGTGTATCAATTGTTTGTTGTTTATAATTTTATTTACTTATTTTACAGTTCGTTTTAGCTTAATATGGACCACTTTCGCCGGCTGGGCCGTAATGGATCTCGTGGTGTTGGTTACCAGCTGGAAGGGTGGAGATGGAGTGACCAGAAGAACCAACTCCGCCGTATACAGTTGATGGACCGCCGTAGGAGATGTCGTGATGATGGCCGTGGTGAGCTGGTTCGTCCTTGATGGAGCTGACCAACTCGCGGTGGTTGAAGACGGTCTTGGCGCTGTCTCCGCTGGAAGCACCTTCTTGGATGTCCTGGATCTTCTGCTCGGCCTCCTTCTGGTTGCTGTACTTGACGAAGACGACTTCTGGTTTGGCGGCTGGTCCTTGGACGGCGGCTGGGACTACGATGTCTTGTTGCTCCTCTGGTTTCTTCACCAAAACGAAGACCTTAGTCTTGCCGGCAGCTTGCTGTTGAGCGATGTTGAAATGTGGGACGACCTTTGAGTTGTAGGCTGGAGCCCTGATGTAGATGGTATTGTCTCCGGCGGCGGCGGACGGTTGCACGTGGACGCGAACGTGGGTTTCACCCAAATCCTCTGGGGCGTCAAAGAAGAAGGATCTGTGGTGTTGGACGGCTTGTGGGATTCCGCCGACGGAGTATCCGACTCCACCGTATTGTCCAGCTCCGTAAGTATTGTATTGTGGAACGCTTCCGTAAGAGCTGTAGCTGGTGTGTGGAGCACTTCCGTAGGAGCCGTAGCTGGTATGTGGAGCGCTACCATAAGAGGTGTATCCGCTGCTTCCTTGTGGGACTACTCCATGGTAGTTGCTCGATCCAGAGTATCCGCTTGGAGTGTAATGGGTTTGTGGACCGTTGCCATAAGAACTATAGGAGTTGGATCCAGATCCGTAAGTCTGAGGTAAGTAACTTCCAGTTGGACCACCTTCTCTAATCTTAAGTCCAATGTCTGCGGAGGCGCAAACCAGAACACTTGCGAAAACCTACAGCATCCACAAAAATTAAACTCATCTCTATTACACTTCGTTAAAAGACTTACCAAAAACTTGTTCATCTTTGTTGATTGTTCTTCAGATGATCGTTAACTGATACTAATCACACTAAAACCTCACGTATTTATACTATTCAAACCCCTCCAAAAAATCCATTAAAAAGTGCATGGATGCATTTTTTTTCTATAATTTTATATTCTACAAGGTTATCATAAGATGATTCAAAAAAAAAATTTACGTAAAACGCATCTGCTTTAAATATGCGAAAGGATTATATAATGTATTTTGTAATATTGCTAAAAAAAAATGTAGCTTATTTGTTGAACTTTCATCAAGGACTGCATTTGCATTACATTTAGGGTAAAATATAGTAATTTTTGTTTAAATTAAATACTACGTAACGGTATTAATTCTAAAAAGTAATAATCAGATTATTTATCATATTACGTGGAATGTAATTTATTATATATTGTTTTCATAAGTCACATTATAATCATTCAATACTTAATTGTTAAATTTTGTAAATACTATTGCATAATCACAATGTTCGTTCGTAATTTATATAATCGAAAACGTTTATAATTTGAAGCAAAATAATCAGTATAATAGGCACGTAATGGATATGTTATATATTATATGTACTAAGGTCAATATTTTTACGTCTTTGTACAGTAAATTACAGTCCAATAACAAGTCTACTGTTTTGAAAACAATAATTGGATTTGCTTGAGAACAGATATCTTTTATAAACTTCAGGATAGATAATCTATGATTTCCTTTGAAAATTTTTAATTTGAATAGTCTGACAAGTAGTAGTAAGTAGTAGGTTTATAGTAGGAACATTCTATAGTTGTTATGATATTTCGATTGTAATTATGATTCTCCTCATTATATGTTACTTTAAGTGTCATAAGCTGCTAAAGTTTTAGATTCGTAATATTAATAACATTTGTTTTCTTTTTAATTAATTCAATTTATTGGTTTACTATATTACACAATTTACTAAGACAATTTAGTTTCAGGTATACATTTAGTATGGGCCACTCGCGCCGGCTGGGCCGTAGTGGGTCTCGTGGTGCTGGTTACCACCTGGAAGGGTGGAGATGGAATGTCCGGAAGAACCAACTCCGCCGTATACAGTTGATGGACCACCGTAGGAGATGTCGTGATGAGTTGGTTCATCCTTGATGGAACTGACCAACTCGCGGTGGTTGTAGACGACCTTGGCGCTGTCTCCGCTGGAAGCACCATCTTGGATGTCTCTGATCTTCTGTTCGGCCTCATGCTGGTTGCTGTACTTGACGAAGACGACTTCTGGTTTGGCGGCTGGTCCTTGGACGGCGGCTGGGACTACGATGTCTTGTTGCTCCTCTGGTTTCTTCACCAAAACGATGACCTTGGTCTTGCCAGCAGATTGTTGCTGTTGAGCGATGTTGAAGTGTGGGACAACCCTGGAGTTGTAGGATGGAGCCTTGATGTAAATGGTATTGTCAGCGGCGGCGGCGGATGGTTGCACGTGGACGCGAACATGGGTTTCACCCAAATTCTCTGGGGCGTCGAAGAAGAAGGACTTATGGTGTTGTACGGCTTGTGGGACTCCGGCAAAGTTCTGTTGAACGAAGTGTCCACCGTATTGTGGAGCAGAACCACCGTAGGAGCTGTATTGTGGGGCACTTCCGTAAGAGCTGTAGCTGGATTGTGGAGCGTTACCATAGGAGGTGTAACCGCTGCTTCCCTGTGGAGCTACTCCATGGTAGTTGCTGGAACCGGAGTATCCGCTTGGAGCGTAATGCGCTTGTTGTGGACCATTGCTGTAAGAACCGTAAGAGTTGGATCCGGATCCGTAGGTTTGCGGAGATCCTGGTAAGTAACTTCCGGCTGGAGTACCTTCCCTAATTTTAAGTCCAATGTCTGCGGAGGCGCAAACCAGAACACTTGCGAAAACCTGAAAACGCATTGCACAAAAATTCACTTCGTCAAAACCAAACACAAGAGACTTACCAAAAACTTGTTCATGATTGTTGTTCGTTCTTCAGATGATCACTCACTGATATCAATCACAACAAAATCTCGTGTATTTATACTAATCTAAGCCCCTCCAAAAAGTTTATTAAAAAGTGCTCGGATGCATTTTTCTCGTTTTTGCAAGGTTATCATCGCCAGATGAAATAAGAATAAAAAAACTCGAAGCGCATCTGCATTAAATATTCAAAGGGTATTTCGTAATCTCGTTTAAATATTACTAAACATCATCTAAAGCTGAACTTTCATCAAGTAGTATATTTAAATAATATTTAGGGATAAAATATGTAAATCAAAATATATAATTGTCTCTTTAACCATTTTAAGTATTCACAAAATACATTAAAATCATTTGCACATCAATTTAAGGATTAGTTAATTGTGATTTTAGTTATTGGAAATATCAACTTTTGTAATCATTAATTCTGTAAGTAATATAGATTCATAGGTAGATATGCATAATTCTTTCAGGTTTAAAATTCCTTTTAAAAAGCAATTATGATGATTATTATCCAAGTAATGCAGAATAATGGGTAGATCAGTAGATATTGCTTATATTATTAGTTACGTTCAACACTTATTACTTTAGTATAACATATTTATCTTAAGACATTAATATGTATACACATTTATAACTAAATATTCGAAAATTAATTAAAAACTATTTTATTTATTTAGCAGCACACTACAGAATTTTGCAACGAGAATGTGCTATATTACTAATATATATACTTTGAAATTTGTTTGCTTAACAAATCATTTCTATTTTACACACTAACATATATTTTTAGAAAGAAACAATACTAATTGTATCTACATAGGATATGCCATTAATTACGCTGATTATTGTTTTTGTTTAATTATTTATTTAATATTGGTTTACTATATATTATACAATTTACTAGGACAATTTGGTTTCTATGTTTAGTATGGGCCACTCTCGCCGGCTGGGCCGTAGTGGGTCTCGTGGTGTTGGTTACCACCTGGAAGGGTGGAGATGGAGTGACCAGAAGAACCAACTCCGCCGTATACAGTTGATGGACCACCGAAGGAGATGTCGTGATGTTGGCCGTGGTGAGCTGGTTCGTCCTTGATGGAGCTGACCAATTCGCGGTGGTTGAAGACTACTTTGGCGCTGTCTCCGCTGGAAGCACCTTCTTGGATGTCATGGATCTTCTGTTCGGCTTCCTTCTGGTTGCTGTACTTGACGAAGACTACTTCTGGTTTGGCGGCTGGGGCCTGGGCGGCGGCTGGGACGACGATGTCTTGTTGCTCCTCTGGTTTCTTCACCAAGACGTAGACCTTGGTCTTGCCGGCAGCTTGCTGTTGACCGATGTTGAAATGTGGGATGACCTTTGAGTTGTAGGCTGGAGCCCTGATGTAGATGGTCTTGTCTCCGTCAGCAGCGGATGGTTGAACATGGACGCGGACATGAGTTTCACCCAAATCAGCTGGAGCGTCGAAGAAGAAAGACTTGTGGTGTTGGACGGCTTGAGGGATTCCGGCGAAGTTCTGTTGAACGGAGTATCCACCGTATTGTGGAGCAGAACCACCGTAGGAGGTGTATTGTGGGGCACTTTCGTAAGAGCTGTAGCTGGACTGTGGAGCGCTACCATAAGAGGTGTATCCGCTGTTTCCCTGTGGAACTACTCCATGGTAGTTGCTAGATCCGGAGTATCCGCTTGGAGCGTAATGCGCTTGTTGTGGACCATTGCTGTAAGAACCGTAAGAGTTGGATCCGGATCCGTACGTTTGCGGAGCACCAGGTAAGTAACTTCCAGTCGGGCTGCCCTCCCTAAGTTTAAGTCCAATGTCTGCGGAGGCGCAAACCAGAACACTTGCGAAAACCTGTACATCATCCACAAAAATTAGACTCGCTTCAATTTCACTTCACGTTATTGCAACTTACCAAAAACTTGTTCATCTTTGTTGATTGTTCTTCAGCTGGTTGTTAACTGATACCAATCACAACGAATCATCGCGTTTTTATACAAGAAAAACCCCTCCAGCGTAAGAAAGAATTAAACTTTTGAATGATGTGCAAGGATGCATTTTTTTTGTTAGGTATAATTTGTAATTTAGCAAGGTTAATCAAACGATATGCTTCATAGTAGCATTTTATACTATTACTATTAAATATGCGAAAGCATTTTGGAATTGCATAATTTAACGTTATTATTCATTCATGATTTCCAAATATACAATATATAATATTGTGGGAACTTTATCAAGGTCTATCGAATGAAGACTATCTTTGTTAGATGAGAAGAGAGAAGAAAAAGGGCTTTTTCTTTGCAATTAATTTCATTTTATTAGTTAATTACACATTTATTAATTTAGAAATTGAATATTATAATATAATAATTTAACTTAAATAATGATGATAATAATAATAACCTTTATTGCAACAATCAAAAACAAAATTACTCATTTTCATTCACAACAATAGTAACAAAATAAAAAATATTAACAGCTGAAAAGGGAGGCCATTGACCATTGCTCAAATATATCTTAATAATTTTCACAGAGATTAAGTCTATTATAGTTATTTTATTTTGATACACAATCTTCTCGTGCATTTTATGATCAAATAGTTTTCTATATTTTCCAAGCATTTATATTTAATTAAGTCTATATCTTCTTTGCAGATAGATAAAAAAATAATTGAAGCAAACGTGTTATTCATAAGGTTTCTAATTAAGATGAATTTCTTAATCATCACTCAATCACATTCAATTTTAGTATAACGTGGCTTTTTTGTATATAGTAATTAGTATACTTATACAATATGTATATATAATTAATTAGGAAGTTGATGTCTGATTGTGATTGTGATTTTATGTCGTTTAGGTTTAATCAAATTATTTTGTTTTTTTGTTTTATATTTATTTTAAATTATTAATAATATTGCTGAACAATATTGATACTATAATACAATTGACTAGATTAACAATGTTTCCTTTTAGTATGGGCCACTTTCTCCGGCTGGGCCGTAGTGCGGTTCACCACCGGAAACGTTTCCGACGGATTCTCCAGAGGAGTGACTTGGACCAGCAGAACCACCGATGAAAGCGCCTGGACCTCCGAACGAGATGCCGTGTTGATGCTGGTGAGCTGGCTCGTCCTTGATGGAGCTGACCAATTCGCGGTGGTTGAAGACGGTCTTGGCGCTGTCTCCGCTGGAAGCACCTTCTTGGATGTCCTGGATCTTCTGCTCGGCCTCCTTCTGGTTGCTGTACTTGACGAAGACGACTTCTGGTTTGGCGGCTGGTCCTTGGACGGCGGCTGGGACGACGATGTCTTGTTGCTCCTCTGGTTTCTTCACCAAAACGAGACCTTGGTCTTGCCGGCAGCTTGCTGTTGAGCGATGTTGAAGTGTGGGACGATCTTTGAGTTGTAGGCTGGGCCCTGATGTAGATGGTCTTGTCTCCGGCGGCGGCGGACGGTTGAACGTGGACGCGGACGTGGGTTTCACCCAAATCCTCTGGAGCATCGAAGAAGAAGGACCTGTGGTGTTGGACGGCTTGTGGGATTCCGGCAAAGTTCTGTTGGACAGAGTATTGTGGGGCACCTCCGAAAGTATTGTACGAGACTTGTCCTCCGTATCCTTGTGGACCTACTCCGTAGCTGCCTGCGTATCCACCTGGAGCGTAATGCTGCTGTGGCCCATTGCTGTACGCTCCATACGAATTAGATCCAGATTGTACTCCAGGCAAGTAACTTCCTGTCGGGCTGCCCTCCCTAAGCTTAAGTCCAATGTCTGCTGAGGCGCACACGAGCACACTTGCGAAAACCTACAGATATATCCACAAAATTGAATTCACTTCAAATCCACTTCTTAAACCATGCACACTTACCAGAAACTTGTTCATTTTCGTTGTTTGTTCTTCAGCAGATTGTTAACTGATACCAAACACAACAGATCCCACCGTTTTTATACTACGGAAACCCCTCCAAAAACGATCGGAGAGGAGAGATGTGCAAAAATGCATTTTTTTCGATCAATATTTTGCAACTTCGCAAGGTTATTAAACTTTAAAATCAAACACAATTTAGGACACATCCACATTATATATTCAGATTACACAATTTCCATATAATTTATCAATCAATATTCGATTACGAAACACGTTTTTGATAATAAACGATGATTTGCAAGGACACTTATTACATTAATACTCCATGAATGAAATAGTTAACACGCAACAACAACAAATAAAAAACACCAAAAGTAAATAGTTAACTATTAAAACTATAACAATTCTATATATATTTAGTTGTATAACTAAATGTCATATGCAGTAATTAATTATAATTAATTTTCGCCACTTTCCAATACTCTCACATTTAGATGGAATTTTATTTATTTTATTTTTTGATATGAATAATTCACAATTGTTTAATGAATATGAATGTCCTTCAGAAACACAATTAAGATCTTCCGCTATAACATCCAATTAATTTCAATTAAAAATAATGGGAATATAATAATTTTCTCTCATTAATTAGAACATGGCATTGTTGTAAATGTTTTAGTCAACTTTAGGATAGTTAAAAATCGCATAAAATTTCTTCATTACGATTTTCAAATTCGCAAAATTTGCAAATTTTGTCCATTCGATTTTATGGGTGATTTGCATATATAAATGATTAAGAAAATAATATTATTTTTCAAATATGTTAATATCTAAATCTTTAAATATTTCTATTTCTGATGATATTTATTGATTATCTCCCCAATGTTGAAATAATAATTCGAATTATTCTAATAGTTTTTTTTTTATCAATAAAAAAAGGTTGGCCAGTGATGGATAATTTAAATTAATTTATATGCAAGTAATATAGATACTATTACAATTGCAATTTATACGAATATAATGAAACTGTTGTTTTTTCTTTTAAGGTTTCTTTAATTAATAATTAAATATTGTTTTACAAAATTGACACTATAATACAATTGGCTAAATGTTAAATATGTTCTTGTTTAGTATGGACCACTTTCGCCGGCTGGGCCGTAGTGAGTTTCACCGCCGGACACGTTGCCGATGGATTCTCCGGAAGAGTGACTTGGACCAGCAGAACCACCGATGACGGCGGAGTGGACACCGCTTGGTCCACCGATGATGGCGCCTGGACCTCCGAACGAGATGCCGTGTTGATGAGCTGGCTCGTCCTTGATGGAGCTGACCAATTCGCGATGGTTGAAAACTACTTTAGCGCTGTCTCCGCTGGAAGCACCTTCTTGGATGTCCCTGATCTTCTGCTCGGCCTCCTTCTGGTTGCTGTATTTAACGAAGACGACCTCTGGTTTGGCGGCTGGTCCTTGAGCGGCGGCTGGGACGACGATGTCCTGTTGCTCTTCTGGTTTCTTCACCAAAACGTAGACCTTGGTCTTGCCAGCAGATTGTTGCTGTTGAGCGATGTTGAAGTGTGGCACGATCTTCGAGTTGTAGGCTGGGGCCCTGATGTAGATGGTCTTGTCACCGGCGGCGGCGGACGGTTGCACGTGAACGCGAACGTGAGTGGTGCCCAAATCCTCTGGAGCGTCGAAGAAGAAAGACTTGTGGTGTTGGACGGCTTGTGGGATTCCGGCGAAGTTCTGTTGCACAGAGTATTGCGGGGCAGAACCGTAAGAGATTTGTCCTCCGTATCCTTGTGGACCTACTCCTTGATAAGATCCGGAGAATCCACCTGGAGCGTAATGCTGCTGAGGTCCATTGCTGTACGCTCCGAACGAGTTGGATCCGGATCCGTAGGTTTGAGGAGCACCAGGTAAGTAACTTCCACTCGGGTTGCCCTCCCTAAGCTTAAGTCCAATGTCTGCGGAGGCGCAAACCAGAACACTTGCGAAAACCTATGCGTAGAATCGACGAAAATTAGATTCACTTCAATTTCACTTGGTTATTATTTCACTTACCAAAAACTTGTTCATCTTCGTTGCTTGTTGTTGTTGTTGTTGTGTTCTTCAGCCGATTGTTAACTGATATCAATCACAGCGATACCTCGCACTTTTATACAAATATACCCCTCCATTAAGCGAACACTAATGATTGCGCAAAGAGAGAATGAGGCGCAAGGATGCACCATTTTCGTGAAATAAATTGTTTCTTCGCAAGGTTATTAAACGCGCCGCATCGACACTATTTCAGATCCATCTCCATTAAATATGCTGATTCAGAAATTATAAATATATAGAAAAAAAAAATTACATAACTTCGTGCCGGGCCATTACATATTCTCACGATTACCAAATCGGATCGAGTTGCTTGAACTTTTATCAAGGTTTATTGTATCTTAGGCTTAAAAATTAATTTATCGAATCAAGGGCATAAATTATATATATTTTTGAGTCAATAATAATAATTAAAATTTCAACACAATGAAATATAAGCATTCATAGATATCTTAATGGCCAATTAACAGTTCATTTTAATTTATAAGTTAAGATTTAACCTAATGAATCAATTCTATTTCAATATAATATATTGTAAAGTGCTGTGAACCTAATTTACATAGACATAACTATTAATTACACAATTTTAATTGCGCATTCAATTAATATTACTGATTTTATATAATAAAACAAGAATGAAAACTATATTCGATTCAAAGATTTTCAATTATGTTCAGTAAAGTTTATTCAGTAAAAACACATTCACACGTTCGCAAAGAAATTGATGCGTATGATAATTGAGCAATTCAAAACATAATAGATCATAAGATATTTGCATAAATATTTCTATCAAGATTCGTTTTTATTTTGTTGTTATTGCTTATTTATTTATTTTTTATATATATGTATATAATACACATTCTTTCTATTTATTTACATATTCAATTACGTAAATTTATTTAAGAAATGCGCATTAATATGTTCGTATAATTTTACATTTCACATAATTTACCTTTTTGATTTATTTGCTAATTTATTTTTCTGGTAGGAGGAAACGTTTTTGAATTATCTCTTTCGTGTAATTCAACTAATTAATTGTTGTAGGGTCAAATGATTGTAGGTATTCAAATTTTCGATTTCGATTTGATTTTATTTACTAATTATTAATACTTTTGTTTTCATTTACAATTCTGTTAATATAATACAATGGATGGACAAATTAAATTATCCTTGATTTCTTCTAGTATGGACCACTTTCGCCAGCTGGACCGTAGTGGGTCTCACCTCCTGAGACGACGGCGGAGGTGCTTGGGCCGACAGAGCCGACGGTGTGGACGCCGCTGGAGCCACCGACGATTCCACCGCCGATTCCAGAGCCTCCGATGAATCCACCTCCGATTCCGGCGCCGTTGTAAGAGATGTCGTGGTGAGCTGGCTGGTCCTTGATGGAGCTGACCAACTCGCGGTGGTTGAAGACGGTCTTGGCGCTGTCTCCGCCGGAAGCACCTTCTTGGATGTCCTGGATCTTCTGCTCGGCCTCCTTCTGGTTGCTGTACTTGACGAAGACGACTTCTGGTTTGGCAGCTGGGGCCGCGGCGGCAGCTGGGACGACGATGTCTTGTTGCTCTTCTGGTTTCTTTACCAAAACGTAGACCTTGGTCTTGCCGGCAGCTTGCTGTTGACCGATGTTAAAGTGTGGGACGACCTTTGAGTTGTAAGCTGGAGCCCTGATGTAGATGGTCTTGTCTCCGTCGGCGGCGGACGGTTGAACGTGGACGCGGACGTGAGTTTCACCCAAATCCTCTGGGGCATCGAAGAAGAAGGACCTGTGGTGTTGGACGGCCTGTGGGATTCCGGCAAAGTTCTGTTGAACGTTGTATCCGCTGTATTGTGGAGCAGCGCCGCCTCCGTAGGTGTTGTAGGAGACTTGTCCTCCGTATCCTTGAGGTCCTCCTACTCCTTGATAACTGCCATAGTTGCTCGATCCCGAATAACCAACGGGAGATGCGTAGTTCTGCTGAACTCCGGGTAAGTAACTTCCAGTCGGAGATCCCTCCCTGAGCTTGAGCCCAATGTCGGGACGTGCAGAGACGCACACCACCATAGCGCAAGCGAAAGCCTGCAAGTAGCGAACACACATATTCCCCAATAATCCAATTGTTCCTTTTGCATTAATCTATCTCGAGACTTACCAAAAACTTGTTCATTTTAGTGGATTGTTCTTCAGCTGATTGCTAACTGATACCAAACGGAACGGATCGTCACGCTTTTATACTAACGAAACCCCTTCCAAGGTGTGTGCGATAGGAAAAAAAAGGAGCGAAGAACAACCATGCAAGGATGCATTTTTTCAAATACTTTTTAACCTTGCCAAAAAATTGTTAAATGATGAATCAAATCACACTACCAGAGATGTAACAACATCAAAAACACATACATTCCAAAATCCGAAGGAGAATTTTCGTCGATCCAATCATTTCGTAACGAAAAAGGTAATCCCACATTCCTAATATATAAAATATCGTTACCCAATAATTCCTCTAAAATCGAATTCACATTCGATTAGATTTTTTTAGTCAAACCAAAAAAAACAAAAAAACTAAATTACATTCAATTAAAGCTGTTTTCACTTGTCGACAAAAAAAATAACAAATTTGATTACACAAACTTCACTCTCTTCACTCTGGCGCAATTAATAACAATTATATGTAAAGTTCAAACGATTTTATATAAGTTGAATCATTCTTCTTTGATATGCCTGGAAGCAACAAGAAATCAAATAACCGAAAATAAGTTAAACTAATTCAAGTGATGATAGAAAAAATATTTCTAAACATAATCGAATACATTTCATTAATAGAATGGAATAGAATATGAATGCATAATTTTATTCTATGAAGATTATGCACATTTTTTTCTTCTTTCATTATATTATTATTATTAACTGTTTATTATCCAATAGCTATGATCATCACGAAACAAAAAAAAGGAGTTCGTCTGTTTTGATGCACTTCCAAACGCCCCCTTAGATTTCTAAATATACATAGAGTCATTTACATATTCGCACTCATCCGATGCTGATGTCTATATAGGAAAGTAATAGAAACGAAATATGAAAACAAAACAAAAATTGTAAATGATTCTTTCGACATTTTATTAAGTTTTTTTTTTGTTGTTCCTTAATTAAAAAGAATGCTATTACACAAATGCTTCGCGTTAATAGTAATGCTTGACTTAAACGATTTCGTGTTTGACCAATTATTATTAATAACCTTTCACCGGTTGAGTAAATAGTCGTTAGTCGTTAGTTGTTTTTTTTTTGTTGTAATTCACCGAATTGTTGCATTAATTTATGTATGATTAGTTTAATTAACAAAAGTTATCCAATTTCAGAATAGATTTGTAAAAAGCAATTAATGTAGAACACTCGTTATAAGTTTGATTCACTTTTTATGTGAATTCATTTCATTATATGTTAGCATGATGATTCACAATTATTTCGACATTTAAATAAGTTGGTGTTATTTTTTGGTGATTCTATGAAATGAAAGGGAATCGAACGTTCTTGCTTTCAATTCAATCTCTCTCTCTGTCTATTCTTTGTCACGATTAACATAGTTTTCCAAAAAATGTGGTAACATCAATTATAAAATGAATCAGATTTGCTTGCTACCTTTTGCTAAATCGCTGCCACAATTTCACGTATTTTTATTTCATTTATAACAGATCGGACAGCTCGATACATTATTGACCTTTATGTTACTTAATTGTTGTTTTTTTCTCTTTCTTTCGGTTGTAATTTTTGTAGTTTTTAACAAATTGAAAGGGAGGCATGAAGTAAAAAGGAAATTGATTATTTTCAAATTTTAATTTTTATTTAATAAATATAATGGTTGATTTTGCTCTGCAATTTTCGCTATAATTGTGACTAGTTTGTTCTGTTTGAATTGTTCTAGTATGGACCACTGGCACCGGCTGGACCGTAGTTGGCGGTCTCGTGGTGTTGATGATGTTGAACTGGACCAGAGGATCCACCGTTAACACCAATTTCGAAGTGGGTTGGAGCGTCGTGGCTGACACCACCACCACCGCCGATGATGGCTTGATGAATGGAGGTTGGTCCTCCGATGACTGGAACTCCGTAGTTGATTTGTTGATGGTGGACGGGCTCATCCTTGATGGAGCTGACCAATTCGCGGTGGTTGAAGACGACCTTGGCGCTGTTTCCGCCGGAAGCGCCCTGCTGGATGTCCTGGATCTTCTGTTCGGCCTCCTTCTGGTTGCTGTACTTGACGAAGACTACTTCTGGTTTGGCGGCTGGTCCTTGGACGGCGGCTGGGACGACGATGTCTTGTTGCTCCTCTGGTTTCTTCACCAAAACGTAAACCTTGGTCTTGCCGGCGGCTTGCTGCTGAGCGATGTTGAAGTGTGGCACGATCTTGGAGTTGTAAGCTGGGGCCCTGATGTAGATGGTCTTGTCTCCGGCGGCGGCGGACGGTTGAACATGAACGCGAACATGGGTGTGTCCGAGATCCTCAGGAGCGTCGAAGAAGTAAGACTTGTGAGGGACCTGCGCGAAGTTCTGTTGAACGTAGTTTTGCTGTCCGACGAATCCAACTTGAGGAGCAACTCCTTGGTAGTTGTACTGCTGTCCGGAAACGACTCCAGCGGGAGCGAAATGTTGCTGTGGTCCGTTGTTGTAAGTATTGTAAGAGTTGGATCCAATCTGTTGAGCTCCAGGTAAGTAACTACCGGTTGGGGATCCGTACTGGTAACCGCCCTCCCTGATATTCAGTCCAATATCTGGACGTGCGGAAACGCACACCAGGACTGTAGCCAATACAACCTACCCCAAACGAAGAACAATCAAAATAACTAAAATTTGCACATCTCCAAAGACAACTTACCAGAAACTTGTTCATATTTGATGCTCTTCTTTGGCGGATTGCCTTCTGATACCAAACACAGGATAAATGTGCTCTTTTATATCCAACAAACCCCTTCCAACACATACAAAAAACTAAAACACTTTGGAGGAAGGTGCAAGGATACACACACATTTTTTAGTAACCTTGTGTCCGGACCGGCGTTAGAAGTTTTACATAAATCGTGAAAAAAAAATTGAAATCGCTTTTAAAAATATATACATATATATGTGTAAACAATATTCGAAGAGGATCTGTTTTGTTAATTGAATTTATATATTTTGCATAAATTATGCGATAGTCTTCAGCGCCGGCCTTGATTCATTATTTTGGGATCCTTTCGAAAAAAGTTAAATGGATTAAACGCAGAATCCAACAAAAAAAAAAGAAGGATTATCTTCATCGATATTACACAATACGAATAATTTCGTTACCATCAATAACATACAAAAATTTCACATTGAAAAAGAGTATCAAGTATGTACACGACAAACACTGTAAATTTTGTTGTAGTAAAAGACGTAGTTTTAACTGTAAAATTTAATCTTATAACTTCTGATATATTATGAAATATGAAAAAAGCATGCAAAAATATTTTGGGAAAATTGAATTATATTGCTCAACTTTAACAGCTTACATCAGATAAAAGAATTACACTGAAATTCCATAATATGCTCGTTGATAATCATATAGTTTTACTTCAATTGATCAAGCTTGACTATATTGAATAATTATACATAACGAATACATTAGGTGTTCAAATGTATTTAAATATACGTTTTGTATATAATTGTGCACAAGCAGTGAACAGGAAGACTTATTTCATTATGACCGTCTGTTTTGTCACATTTATTATAATCGTGTTCGATATTATCATAATGGTGGTATTCTTTTAATTAATACGAAACACAATCGAATTTATGGTAATTTCGATTACGTGATTCGTTGTATTTTTCAACCTGCGAGTTTGAAGTATTAGTTCGATTCGATCTCTAATAGTCTAATAATAGTTTTACAGATAAATTATTGAGAAATAAATAAATGAATAATCAAAAAAAAAAGATGAGAAATGTAAACGGATCAAGGCAATCTGGATCCGAATGGAATCTCTTTGGCTATTTTTCACACGATGTTGTCGTGTCGTCTATGTGACTCAATTTCGAGAATTTTTGCGTGGGTTATTATTTTATTACACTTGTATTATTTTTTTTGGTAAACTAAACTTTAATTTCTCTTAATAAATACGTTCTATACAAGTTTTTTTGTTTGTTTCAGATTGGTGAAGTTATATTAGTACGGGCCACTTTCTCCGGCTGGGCCGAATTCGTGGGATTCCTCTTTGGTGACGACGCTAGTGCTTTCGGCGGTCACCGAGCTGGACTCGGGGATGGCGTTGGCAAGGTCCTCGTGGTGCGGCAACGGATTGCCCTTCAGCAGTGTCTCGGTGTTTCCGCTCTCGATGCTGTGGATTTTATCGGCGACGTCCTTCTGATCGGTGTACTTGACGAAGAAGACCTCCGGAGATGCTGGTGGTCCTTGTGGAGCGACTGGAACGACGATGTCGTGGGTGCGGCTGATTCCACCTTTGCCTGTTTGAGTGACGGTCGTGGTGACTCCGGCAACGGAGTGCGGGTTCGGGCTACCGATGATGGTGTCGATGATCAACCTGCCGGCACCTGGTGCTCCCCCTCCGACGATGCTGGAGTGAGTGGAGCCTCCACCAATCAAGGTTGGGCCGCTGGATACGGATGGACTTCCGATTACTGAAGAACTTCCAATTACAGATGGACCGCCAATTGTGGATGGACCGAATGATTGGATTCCTGCAAGAGCTGGAGCTCCGGCGGATTGTTCGATGATGGGTCCAGTGTAGCTGATGGTTTGTTGGTGATGTTGATGGGCTGGCTCATCCTTGATGGAACTGACTAATTCGCGATGGTTGAAGACTGTTTTAGCGCTGGTTCCACCGGTGGCTCCATCCTGGATGTTCTTGATCTTCTCTTCGGCTTCCTTCTGAGTCTTGTACTTGATGAAGACGACCTCCGGTTGAGCAGCAGTCGCTTGAACGGTAGCTGGAACGACGATGTCCTGCTGTTCTTCAGGTTTCTTCACCAAAACGTAGACCTTTGTCTTTCCTGCGGCTTGCTGTTGAGCGATGTTGAAGTGCGGCACGATCTTCGAGTTGTACGATGGAGCCCTGATGAAGATGGACTTTTCTCCAGCCGCGGCCGACGGTTGCACGTGAACCCTCACATGGGTCTCTCCCAGATCCTCTGGAGCATCGAAGAAGAAGTTCTTGTTCTCAAGAATATGGGAAACGACCGGATTGTACGTGTTGTAGGTGGGAAGATGTCCCGGAGAGGTCTGGAAGGTCTGCGAAGATCCGTAACTTTCCTGCTGACCCCCAACCCCCGGTAAGTAACTACCGGTTGGTGAACCAGCCTCCCTGAGTTTCAACCCAATATCGGGACGTGCGTTGACGCACACCAACGCCACAGTCAAAACCTACCATTCCAAAATTGAAAAAAAAAACGAAATTAATACACAAATCCATCTTTAACACACACACACACACGAAACTTACCAAAAACCTGTTCATATTTTCGCTTCGTGCTCGTTGATCTCCTCTGACATTCTCCACAATCAAACTTTCCGCTTTTATACTCGACCAGCAGCAGAAAGCCCCTCCAATCTTCGTACGCAAGGATACCGCATTTTACCACAAAAATTCACCACAAGAAGAAGAAAACGAATCTCATAATACCATTTTTTTCTTCGAAAAAAATCGCAACTATAGTTTACATAATACACTTAATCAATTAACATTCGTTGCTTACATAACGTGCACTATGCGCGCCATCCGATTGTGACCCGCCAATATTAAAAAAATATTCAAATATCCAACTTTCTCCCATCAAAAACTTACAAAAAAAATATAATACAATACAATATAAGAAAAGCATCAAGTTAGCCCTAGCAATTAGCTAGTGAAGTCAATCAAAAGCAACCTTGATCAACATTTGAAATGAATTAATTACATGCGTAACCTTTACTGGCATTATTAAAACATCAAGTACACGTTGTGCAAAACGAAATGAAATTCCCAATCAATTCAATGGCATCATCATCTTCATCACTTTATTAATAATCTACAGAAATCATTCAATATTGAACGTTATAACGAATACTTATTTTAATTACAATTAATTCATTGAACAGATGAAAAAAAAAACACGTTTTTGTTTGTCTACTTTAAAGATAATCATAGGATCAAAGTAAACAAACAAACAAAAGAACTAAACAATCGAAACTTAGGAGAAAAACTCGTTTGGGATGTGGTGTGCACCGAACAAATATATTTAATCCAATCTCTTCGATTAATTGAAACCAATTAACCTTGCCCATTGTAAGTTTTCCTCGAAACTACAACACTTCATCTTTCTTCTGTTGAGACGAAAAAAGAACACTCAATTAAAATGAGAGGCAATTACGTTGATTTGATGGAAGCCGACTGAGATTTGTTTGTTGAACGAGTACGCACAACGAGGAGATTTATGAATCGCACCTGAATAACAATTAGCAATTATATTTTAGTCGATGAAGCGATTAACATTCACTCACTTACTACACTATACACACACACACACTATATAAGATTGCATTCCTTCACTTTTTGTTGTTGTTGTTGTATCTTATTGTGCAGTTGTTATTTGCAAATTATGCAATCACAAACGACTAACACTTAATCTTACTGTTGTTTAATATCAACTTAACTGTTGCAGTATAATATTCAACTTTATCAATTGAAGCTTAAAGACTTTAAATAATGACTTAATAGTTGTATAACGCAATTTCGACACTCTATTTTTAATAGTTTCGACTGTCACAGCCGATGATACAATCGAGATTTACAATCTCTCCCAAAATTTACATATACCAAAGTGAAATAACATGCATGAAACACGGAGAAACAATTGAATCATTTGTAACATTAAACAAATGAAACAAGAAACAAACATGCAATCAATTTCACTTCAGTTTGAAAATACTCGAACAGGCGGTTACTTTACTAATACAATTAACAATTCAAATTTCATAAAGATTATAAATTAATTTCTTCCTCATAAAAAAATATCTAATCGTAACTTGTACGTTATCCATATAATAATACCCTCTCTTCCGTTGCCTATGGCAACCAGAGAACAACAAACATAAGAAGAATGAAAACTCGTTTTCGAAGCGGAGACGAGATGATGTACAAGGATGATGATGAATAAGTTTATTGACCTTTGCCTGCACAACGCGCAAACTGTTGATCCAGAATCAACATAATCATCTCAAGTCACCAAGTTATAGTAATTCAATATCGCGCTATTGTTATTTGCAAATTCAATTATCGAACAGTAGGAACAAATCACGTAAATATATGCAGTCGATTTGGCATTTGCATTGTTGATGGATGCTTCAATCCAATAAAATCAATGATGCGTCGCGACACCTGACAGACGTCGCCAATTTTGTATGGGAATTTACGAGCGAAAGACGCAAAAATCTGTGACCAATATTCAAATTCAAAGAGAGGAGTGTTAAAAAAATGAATTTAATTTATTATTGTTGACGATCGTTGCATAAACGTATGCTAATGCTTTGAGATTAGCGAATTATTACAATATTTCATGTGCAAATCAGATAGATTGTATTTTGGTGCGTCGATCAATTGGAATTTCTAATTTATAAGGAAAGGCGTAAAGCAGTAAAAATTAAGACTGACTCAGTCGGGGATAAGTATATATAAATACTTCTTTTTTTCTTGCAAAATTCCATCCTAGCAACAAGAACAACAACAACAACAACAAGAAGAATAAAAACAACTTGTTTTATGCGAGTATCTGGATCTATTTTCGTGCTAAATGTCAGGAAAGATCGTAAATGCATGCATTTATTACTTATTATTTATTTATTAAATTCAACTTTTAATTCCCGATCGACACTTGAGAAATGATCATCTAAATCTATTTATTAATTAAAACTGTTTAATATGAAATAATAGAATAGTTTTCAGCTTGAGTGAACGTGCGTTGAATTGAAATTGTTGAATTAAATAAACCGCAGACGGTTTGTTTTTGAAAGGGCGAATTAAATGTTGTGTTTGAATTTGCAGTGAAAACTTTGAGACGCGTTCAAAATTGGAGAACTTAATTAGGTTTGTTGCTGTAGGAATCCCCCAGATCTGCAGGGGATTTGGAACACGCGCTCGCATTCAAATTGAATTTTGAGCGAAACGTGGGCAGGGATTTGTATCTCTTTCTCTCTGTGTTATGATTAAATAATTTAATAATTTATTTGTCGAATTACATAAGTTAAAAATTGATCTAAGTAGTATTAGTAATAATTTAAGTTTTTTTTTTGTAGATTGAATAAATAGATTTTTGCTAGCTTGAAATTTAAAATGTTTTCTCCTCTTGTTTCAGGTCGTGTTGTTTTTAATATGGGCCGCTGGCTCCTGCTGGGCCGTAGTGGACTTCCTCCTTGGTGATGGTGTTGGAGATGGTATCTTCTCCGGCTCCGATTCCAGCGGTTTGGGTGAACGCGCCGGGTCCGGACGAGGTGGAGATGGAAGTCGCTGGAATTCCGGTCTGCACGAAGTTCACGGATGGTCCGGCGTAATATCCTTGCTGTTGGATGGCCGGTTGATCCTTGATGGAGCTGATCAATTCGCGATGGTTGAAGACGACTTTGGCGCTGTTTCCGCCGGAAGCGCCCTGCTGGATGTCCTGGATCTTTTGCTCGGCCTCCTTCTGGTTGCTGTACTTGACGAAGACAACTTCCGGTTTGGCGGCTGGTCCTTGGACGGCGGCTGGGACTACGATGTCCTGTTGCTGCTCCTGCTTCTTCACCAAGACGTAGACCTTGGTCTTTCCAGCGGCTTGCTGCTGAGCGATGTTGAAGTGTGGCACGATCTTCGAGTTGTAGGCTGGGGCCCTGATGTAGATGGTCTTGTCACCGGCGGCGGCGGACGGTTGAACATGGACGCGGACGTGGGTCTCGCCCAAATCCTCCGGGGAATCGAAGAAGAAACTCTCGTGTCTGGCGGGAGCGAAACCTTGGGTGAATTGGTTGAATCCTTGCTCGACGAGACCGGAAGTTTGGTACGAGTTGAGGGCAGCTCCGGTGTTGTATCCGGTGGATGGAATTCCTCCAGAGGTTTGCTGCACGAACTGCTGCTGAGTCTGGTAAGTTCCCGGTAGATAGCTTCCAGTTGGAAGTCCGTATCCTTGCTGCCTGAGCTTGAGCCCAATGTCCGGACGAGCCGCGACTCCGGCGACGAAAAGGGCGAATACCTTTTTTTATTTGAGCGCACAGATTTCGTTGTAGTTAAGATTGTTCGATAAATTGTGAATAAGTCGACTTACCAAGAACTTGTTCATCTTGTGCAGGAAACCTGTGGACGTCTTCTGATGCTGTCCACAAGAAGGCCTTGCCATTTAAACACATCCACCAACTACTCCCACCATCCCTCGATCACAACCAACAAGGATACGAAACACCAGCACCAACACCATCATCAACAATAACAGTAACCTTCATCCTCCTCCACCTCTTTATCGCACTAATGCGAAACCGTTCAGCCTCATCGAACAAATCGTAGCAAAATTACTGAACAAAGATATGTACATATTTAATTGGCCGGCCGGCCGACCGGTCGAAGGTCACGCAATTCGCGTTTATAAAGAAGCACCATTAAACATAATCGTTTGACGGATATCTAACTATATATCGGACTTTTCCCCTCAATTTTCACATTATTAACATATTTATAGCTAAATACTTGACAACAAACATAACAATTCTATGCTAATTTCCGTCAAATATTATTATTTATAACTGAAAAAAAAATAAGTCCATCCTATATTAATATACATGAATATATCACAAGAAAGCGGATCTTTGTTCAAGTCTTCTCCGTTGGTTGCTTGATGGTGCCATTGACCCTCAATTAATTCTCCTCATCCTCAATCTTTCACTGCAAAACAATACGCGTCAACTCGAACATCTAATAAAACATACACTACATCAATCCTTCAAAACTTAATTAAACCGAAATTGCGGCAACGCACCGTAACGTAACGATCGATCAAATCTAAACGCTTCAAGTAAACTTTAATTAAATCAAAACACCAAGTAATAAAAATACAAAAGTATTAAGCACCTAATAAAACGCAAACATTCATTACATCCATTGTTTGAAACTTAATTAAACCGAATTTAAAACACCGAAAAGTACAATGCTCATCTTTAAATACGATCTAAATTTTAACTTATGAAAACGATAAATCCAACAACAATAATGTGAGAGAATGAAATGAGATTCTCTATAAAAAGTTGCGAAAGTAAAGAGTATCGAATTACGTGCAGATAATCAATTCTCGTTAACTCGTTATAATGAAATGCGTATGCGAAATGTGCTCAAAGTAAACACATCAATTATTTGAAATTACATAAAATAATGAAACGCGTAAGAATCTTCACAAATCAATTATCGTAAAAACGAACAAAGAACATAAATTGATGATGAAAACATACATATCCATCCACGTTTTTCGCACGACTTTTTTTTTTTTGGATTTATTTCCAGTGTTTAGGTAAATCCAATTCTCGCAAAGTAATTTCGAAAGGCAGAGTGGAGATTCGCGTTTAAGAAAAACGGCATCGCAAATTCCACGCACATAAATCGCGAAGAGAGACGGACACGAAATAAAAAGTAAGTGTGCAAGATCGATTTGCATATTCTGAATAATATTAGTTTCATTTGAATATTCGCATCCGCTTCGTTCGAGGAATTTCGGTGTCGCAAATTCATATTGAAGAAGAAATCACAACAATGTATGTTTCATATGCATCTTTTGGATTCATTCTAAGTATTATAGTTT